GAAAAGCCTTGTAAATACTATTGTCTACTTAGCTGCCACTTGGAAATTTGGCCCTGGATTACTTTTTCAGATTTTACCCATCATACTCACCAGAGGAAACGGCATCATTCCCTAGCCCAGAGAATTATTTAAAATAGATTAAGCCAATGATGTTACATTCTCCTTGCATATAACATAATCAGGGTGAATACGATCTGCAGGAATGTCTGGGAAAACAGGAAAATTTTCTGGAGAGGGTTTTACTGCTTTAAAAAGAAATGTCTAACTAACATAGGTAATTTAGTCTCAGAATGAAATACCAGACTGCACTAGACTGTAAACACAGCCTTTTAATTTGCTTCTGGGTCTTTAGAACTTGTTGCATAATTATGCAGTGTGGGAAGCTGCTAATGCTACTTGGTTAGCATGAAAGAAGTTGTTGACAGGTCAAAAAACTGGTGTCTTGTTTCGGTTTCCATTGCTGTGATAAAGACCATGATTACATGAAACCTGGGGAAGAAAATGTTTATTTCATTTTCCACTTCCAGGGTTACAGTCGGGCAAGGAATCTGGAGGCATGAACTGAGGCAGGGTACATGAAGGAATACTGCCAATTACCTTGCTCCTCATGGCTTGCTCAGCTTTCTTTCTTATAGAGCCCAGGACTAACCTGTGTAGGATTGGGTCCTCTCACATCAGTTATTAATCAAGAAAATGCAATCTGATGGAGACAATTCAATTCCTGCATTGAGATTCCCTCTTCCCAGATGTATCTAGGTTTGTGTCCGGTTGACAAAAATCATCAGCACACACAGTTAAACATATTAATGAAAGAAAATTGAATGAATTTCATTAACTTGTTAGAATTACCAGTGATCCAACTGACTTATGATTATATAAGTATAACTATATAAGTATAATAAATATCTCAATATTTTTCAGTCTGCTTTCCTGCTTTCTACATACAAATATATGCTCAATCCAAACCAAACCATTTCTAAATCAACCTCTCAGAAATATGTTTTACTATTTGACCAAGAACCAAGTTTAAGATTTGGAGAAGTTGGTCCATTTGGGGGAAAAATCCACATTTAAATCCAATGATTTCACTATGCATATATAGAGAAATGCACACACAGAATAGATGGATAAGGGGCTCACTTCTTAGTTGGTTTTTACCATGTCTGAAGATCATGAACTTGGGTTTTAGGAATGAGGCATCCTACTTTCTTGACTCTAGCACTAAAAAAAAGTTGAGTATAGTTCCTAATACATGGTGTGCTTTTCACACTTCTTTGTCTTTGTTGACACTGTCCGTTCTGCCTGCAATACTGATTCTTTCTTTCTTCTTGTGACTTAATTCTAACTCATCTGGTAAAACTCAGTTTAGTTTTTCCTCCAGGAAGCCTTCAGATTTCCTTAGATAGCGCCGGATTGCTTCCTTTTTGTTCCCACAAGACTTGTGCTTTCCTTATCCGTAACAGTTAAACACTCACAGTGAATTTATTTCTTTTCGAGAGAGAAAAACATGGCCACTATTGCTTTCTTTTAGGCACTTAGCATACTATCTGACATATAGGATTATGTGCCTTAAAGTAAATATACTTCATACTAAGTTCAGAATTTAAGCAACTCTGCATTGAAAAATCCGTTCAGAGTGGATGTGGTTGTTCACACCTGTGATCCCAGTACTCCAGAGGCTGACACAGAAGGATGTTATTTCCAGGCTAGCCTGGACTTGTTAAGAAGGCCCTGCTTCAGAAACAAACAAACAAACAGCAAAATCCTTACAAAACATTTATGTAATTGTCACTGCAAAACGTTTACTTGCTCTGCTGGAACCAAGAAAAACGAAATTTCTCCTATCACGGGCCACCCCCTTTGTTTCTCACCCCCTCCCCCTTCCGAGCTCCCCCTCTCCTTAGCTTTGCTTTGCTTTGCTTCTTCCTCAGGCTGCGGTGTAGGGAGGCCGGCCCTAGAGGAAGTCAAGTATGTCATAGCAGGGGAGGAGGGTCTACAGGACTGCTAGTTTTACAGAGGAAAACTCAAATCAAGCACCAAAGCACACAGCAAAGAGAGAGGAAGAACCGAAAGGCATTCCTCAGTGGAGCTGAGCTCTCGAGCAGCGAAGCCTTGCTTGGCACGACCTCAGTGGCTGGAGATTCAAGGTAACTATTCAATCAATCTCCTTGTCTTTTCCTTTCCAATCCATTGCTTCTGGAATTCTGGAGCTTCTGCCTTTGCGCGGGTGCTAGGCATGTCTGCTGTTTCTCTATTGAGAGAGGATCTACTATGAAACCGGTGTCTAGAGAGCAGCTCAGAGCTGCAAAGGCAGCCGAAGCTCTTTCAAGGGGAAATTCAGAAAAATTCAGATGGTTTTCCAGCATCTGGTTAATTTGAAAGCGTTTTGATTGGTTTCGATGCATCTGGAAGCTAACATTGTCTTTCATGAACGGATAAAAAGTCACAGAAACAAGCTAGTGGGAAGCCAAAGGGGATATTGCTGAGGCAAAGAACTGTTTCTGAATTCTTGAAGTTGTTTTTCCCCTTTGCTTACACTTTCAGTGCAGCTGTTAACTACTTTGATTTCTTGGATCTGTGAATTGGAGCAGCAGAAAAGGTGGGAATCGCTTTTCTAATTTCAATGTGTGGGTTTGTTCTTACAAAGGAGTGAATATTTAAAACACATTGGTATAAAAGAGGAGAGGGACAGAAGCCAGTAGAGACAGAAAAGAAAGTAACGGACTCCAGAAGAAAATGGAGGGAGGGAGGAAGGAAAGAGGGATTAGGACACAGAGATCTCAAGCTTAATAAAATCAGAAACCTCTTACTTAAAAAAGTGTCTGGTTTTCTCAGAAATGTCTTCCTTCCCATTTTCAGACAGTCACGCATCATATTGACGAGCATACAGTATGGTGTACTTTGCTGTAGCTGATTTTTGTCTTTGAAAACATGGATCTTGGTCACAAGACATTGGTTAGTTTCCTCGCTGCCTTTGAAACACTAGCATACACAACTCAGTTCTTCCGGGCTTGGAAGACAGCTGCTTTTATCTGTCTCCCCTTCAGCCTGGTTTAAGCCATTTGTATTATGTCACCTCCTTTACTTCCTCTTTGCAGGGACTCTTAGTTCCTTGGTTTACCGAGGGGACTACCAACAAATCCTTATCAATGTCGGGTTATTCATGAAAGAGAATAAATGAGGCATTTCAGGATTTCTTAAAAGACTGCCCCCTGCCCCCCACCCCCCAAAAAGAAAAAAAGCATTTCAGAAACTGGCTGGTGGTCTGATTAAAAGAACTCTTGGGTTTGTTGCTTGTTTGTTTCCCCATGAGCAGAAGCAGCTCAACAGGAAACACTGGGATGGAGAAAGGGAGAAAGAAGTTTTACATTGTGAAAACATGCAAACAGATCAACATCTTCCTGGTCGTGGAGTGTGTCCTTCCTGACTTCATGTTGTAATGCACAAGGGGCTGTTCCCTAACTAGATTTGTTCATTATTAAAGACATTACTTCCGCTTTCTTTCTACAAAGCAAAACAAAACTAAAACCCCAGACCAGACAAACAAAAAACCAAAGCAACCAACCAACCAAACACATTGAAATTCCTAGCTATGAGGAATAATATCACAAGTAGATTTTCAGAGTAAAATTTCTGTTTATGTTTAAAGACATGTTTGAGAAAGGCAGCAATTGAAGTTCCGGTGCAGTTCTGTCCTGACTTTTGTTCTGATTTCTTCTCCCGGAATAAAGGCTCTGTCCTTTTGAAATTGGCCAAGGCTGCTTTCTTAAGATGAGTGGCAAAATGGGCCACCTAGAGCAGTGGTTCTCAAACTTCCTAACGCTGTGACCCTTTAATGCCCCTCATGTTGTGCTGACCCCCCCAACCATAAAATTATTTTGTTGTTTCTTCATAATTGTAGCTTTGCCACTGTTATAAATTGTAATGTAAATATCTGATATGCAGGATATTTGATATGCCTTTGAAAGGGGCCATTCGAATGCCAAAGGGGCGCAACCCAAACGCCCCTTTGATTAAGAACCACTGCCCTAGACTGACTATGATTCTGATTCATAAGATTTTGGATCATTGGCTAATAACTGAAGTTTTCAGGGCTGTAGTCTGGGTTTTGGCAGCCTCTGCCCCAAGGATATATCACCAAGCTGACAGTTAGAGAAACAAGTAATTGTGGAAACAGAGAGATTTATTCAGTGCATCCACACTGAGAAGAGGGAGAATTGGTATAAAGGGCAAGGAGCATGTATAATTAAATAGCCCTAGTTAAGATATGGTCTGCTTGGCCATTTCAACTTTGGTCCTTTAGGGTGACCTGAAGAAACCCTATTGTGTGGAGGGATCAGTGTGGTTCTTATTATTTCTGCTCCAAAATGGACTGTTATGGATTATTCCCCTTTCCTGGAGGGTGGCTTGTTTCTGCCATTCCATCCCTGGGATCCAAGGTGACTCAAGAGGAAAGGTAAAAGAAAATGATTGATCCAATTACCTTCAGCTAAGGTAAAGGAGACAGACAGACGAAGTATGCAGGCAGATGCATCAGACTTTCGCCCTGGTTTCAGTTAACCTGTGGGCCCAATGAGTCAATGCTTTTTTTGAGCAAGAGTGGTTTTTAAGTGACCATTTCAAGTTGACTTGTACAGAATTATATCTAAAGCAATAAGAAGAAAATTTGCACTGCTGTTTTTTAATTGTGCTATAAAAAGATCTGTTCCACGTGGGGGGATATTTTCAACTTTTGATAGTATTTTTTGAAGAATAACACCTTTTGAATTCAAAAATCTTCAAAATTGATTACATTTCTTTTGCACATACATGCATTCAAAAAGGATTTCTATAAATGGATTTCTGCTCACCTTCTCTGGGATTCTGAAATTAATGGCATTATTATAACAGGTGTTTGTTTGTTGGTGATTTACTCACCATCCAATGGTTACTCCAATCTTGCTACCCACCAGGTTCACAGCTAACCCAAAGAAGTATAGATGGAGATTACTTTCTATCTGAGGATATATTAGCCACAGACAGCTACATAAATAAGCAATTCCAGAATGTGTGGTCAAGTGTTCCAGTACAAGTATTTCCAAACTGCAGCAGTAACACAGAATATAAAAGGGTGGGGTTAAAAGTTATACAAGGGGGTTGGACAGACGGCTCTGTGCTCAAGAGCACTGGCTGCTCTTCCAGAGGACCTGAGTTCAATTCCCAGCATTCACATGGCAGCTCACAACTGTCCGTAACTCTAGTTCCAGGAGATCTGACACGCTCATACATATATACATGCAAGCAAAACACCTATAAAATAAAAAAGATAATTTAAAAATAGGTTTAAAAATGAAGTTAGATAGAATAGTTCATTTAGCAGCATCTCAATGGATTGTTGTGACACATTGAGTAGCATCTTAGTGGAAGGCAATCCTTCACCACTTTCTCTAAACCAGTGGTTCTCTAGCCCTTTGGGGGTCACAGGCATTGCATTATCAGATACCCTTTATACCAGATATTTACATTATTATTCCTAACAGTAGCAAAATTACAGTTATGAAGTAGCAATGAAAATAATTTTAGGGTTGGGGGTCACCACAGCATGAGAAACTGTATTAAAGGGTGTCAGCATTAGGAAGGTTGAGAACCACTGCTCTAAGACAAGCTCAGGAAGCTAATGTAGATAATCATCTGGTAAGTCCTTACTATGTAGCAAACACTAAATATTAAGTACTTAGATGCCTTGTATACAATTTCCTTCTCATCTTATTGATCAGTTTCTTTCTCTGTATCCATTTCCGGATAAAAAAAAAAATCGAGGCTCAGAGAAGAAAATGTACAGTTAGCCCAAAGTTACCCAGCTCATAACAGGCAGAGTCAGAAAGAAAGCAGAGAGGTATTGCATTACTAGAACGAATAAAAAGGACATTTCTAACATACAGAACCCTAGGTTTTAGGCACATGGTCGTGAAAAAGTAGATGAGCTTGAAGGACTGGGTATGGGTTCAGGGTGGGCTAATGTCTCCATTCCTTCAAAGGGAAAGAGAACTTGAATTAATGAGCAAAGAGCAAAGCAAAGGCCAGCTTATGGAATTTCAGAGCCAATATTTTTGCCTTCATTTTCTTTTCTTATAGATTTCAGATTTTGTCTTTTAAAAATTAATTTAGTTTATATAATTAACCTGTGTTCATTGTAAAAATGGTGAATTATGTGCTGGGAATTGTTCTTAGCTGATGAAGCAATTATTTTTATTATCCACAAATTGTTCAATAACAGATTCTTACTAAAAAGTAGTTATGCTGGTATCTAAACTCAGGCAGAAGACCACAGAGCTTGTTATTAACTACTCTATTCTACTGACTCCTTTTGATTATATCTGCTAATGTACGAAAAACATGTGTATGCCACTGTTGGCCTAGCACTATAGTCCTATATAGTGTTAAATATTCTTATCATTAAAGAGGAGATGCAACTAGCTTATAGTTTTGAGTTTCCAAGTAAGAGATTTTGATTTGACATATAGGTAAATTGGAGCCATTGAAAAGCAGTAAACAGAGAAGATGGTAGCAACTTATCTGGTAACAGAATTTAGAATATTTTGTGTTGGGCAGTAGGAAAGATGGATGTGAATGTATGCCAGAGAGAGACAAAGCAGTTGGGAGGATCTTACATTAGTGCACAACATAAAACAAGTGTCAGTAGTAATATTGTGCATCCAAGAGACATCACAAAGGAATGGTTTCTAGGTTAGTGACAAATATAGATAAGAAGGAGGAATGAGTCAATGTAATGACTCAGCATTTAGAATTTCAATGTAGATGACATAAAATTGTGGTTCTAACAGGAGGAAAATTCAGAGAATATGATCCATTTGTGACAGAAACATGAAGACAAATAATAATGATTTCTATTTTTTAAAAAAAAAACACTTTCACACACACAAAGGTGATTTTGAGCCTGTTAGAATTGAGGTGCCGCCAAAGCAGTCAGCAAGGAGCTTCCAATGTGGAGCTGAAGATTAGAAGACAGGAAAATGCCAAGACTTGCAGATCACAGACTTGGAAATCTAGTACAGGGATGTGTACTGGAACAGGCAGTTGAAAACAACTTGGGCTTCAGCCACTGGGAGTGGTTGGTAAAATGTGGATGAACATATCAGGGTGTTATGACATAATTAGAAACAAGAGAATAATATATAAATATGCATATATACATATATGTGGTATCTAAATAATATAGGACCGAGAGTGAAAAAAAATTAAGGAGGAAATACATAATTTAATAACATGTATTTAAATCCATAAAATTCACTTTGTAGCAATACATACAAATGAGAAGATGCACACTAAATGTACAAGCATGGTTGTCTGTGTTGGGGCCAGGGACAGGAATGTGAATGAGCTGAAAAGATAAAGTAGAAAAACAGAAACATGGAAGAAAGTGGGTCCATGGTAACCTGCCATGAAATGAAAAATATTGTCTGGCATATGGGCATTTGGAGATAAATTTTGAACATAGAAAGGACTGGGGTTTTGCTCAATGGTAGAGCTCTTGCCTAAGGTGACACAAGCTTTCAAAAATGGGGAAAAGATTGCAAAGCCAAACCATGAAGTCTTTCTATGCTGTCATTCTCAAGTTAACATAGTTAGTGAGTAAATGATTATGCTTTTGCATAAGTTTATTTTTTCTTTTTCAATCAATTATTAATAAATGTGGTGTGTGTGTGTGTGTGTGTGTGTGTGTGTGTGTGTGTGTGTGTGTGTGTGTTTATGCACATGTGTGTACCATGGTTTAAATTTGGAGATCAGAGGACAAGATTCAGGAGTCAGTACCTCTCCCCTTGCACATTGTTGAAATGGAATCTCTTGTTTCTGTTGTGTTACACATTCTACACTAGCTGCCACATGAACGTCTCTGAAATTCTCCCATTCCCACCTCTTATAGGCATCTGGTATTACAGGCATATGGCATTGAATCCATATTTTGACTTGGACTCAGAATCAGACAGGTCAATAGGCTTACATGGCTAGTGCTTTTACATGTTGAGCAATCTCCCCAGCCTTGGGTTTCTTGATATACAGAAAATATATATATATATATATATATATATATACATATATATATATATATGCAGAAAACAAATGCTTATGAACAGACTCCCCATACTATACATACTTACTCAAAAGTAATGTTTTGTTTTTTCAGGTCACCATGGCCATGCCAGAAAAGTCAAGTTGTGTCAAACCATCTGAGGATTGCAGCAATTTTCCTGAGATTATTGAACTCAATGTAGGTGGCCAGGTATATATAACTCGCTATCCTACTCTGATCAGTATTCCTGGTTCCCGGCTCTGGGAAATGTTCAGTGTAAAGAACCCTTGCTCACTGATCCAGGACAACAAAGGGAGATTCTTCATAGATCGAGATGGTTTTCTCTTTCGTTATGTCCTAGACTACATGAGAGACCTGCAAGTAGTGCTTCCTGACCACTTTCCAGAGTGTGGCCGGCTCCATAGAGAAGCAGAATACTTTAAGTTGCCAGAACTGGCCAAGATGTTGGCTGTTAAAATGAACAAGCTCAACTCAGTTGGCAATGACTCATGTCAAATTGATCTAGAAGAGCTTTCACCAGGCATTGATACCACATTCAATTTCTCTTCAACTAATACCATCCATATTAGTGGCCCTGATAATTCTGTAGTTCTGACAGCTGCCACTGGTTCTGAGCTCAAGAAGGCTGGCTTCATCACCATTGGCTATCGAGGCTCCTACACTCTGGGCAGGGATAGCCAAACAGATGCTAAATTCCGCCGTGTGGCCAGAATCATGGTGTGTGGTAAGATCTCATTAGCCAAAGAAGTGTTCGGAGACACTCTGAATGAGAGCAGAGACCCAGACCGCCCTCCTGAGCGATATACTTCTCGATACTACCTCAAATTCAATTTTCTGGAACAAGCCTTTGACAAACTAGCTGATGCTGGCTTCCACATGGTAGCATGCAACTCCACTGGCACCTGCACTGTCACACATGACCAAACAGATGACAGGATCTGGACCTCTTACACTGAGTATGTTTTCTATCGTGAGTGAAACTTAAAAAGTCATCCAAGAAGTACATACCCCCCCAAACAGTCTCCCTCCTTTCTTTCCATGCCAAGTGTATCCCTTAGGAATAGACACTCTAATCACTCTAGGCTCTTGAGTGGTCTGCATAATCTTGGACAATGGTACTTCTCTCATCACAGCCACTTGGACCTTTGTTGGTTTTCTTCTTACATGCCATTCCAATCTATCTAACAACCTCCTCTGGACTATGGAGTGGATGCCACTTAATGAAAGGTGTGCATCAATATAGACAGTAGATGCATATTTCTGCAGTGAATACAATTGAATATAAGCACTGAATGAAAAGTGTTGAGAAATACTGAGCCATGGCTTCCAAGCTGTTGCTTAGTAACACACATTGAACTTGATTATGTACAACCTTACTGTTTCTACTCACCTAGATAAAAGAGCACCACGTTACAGTAGGATGTGTGCATGTGCTTTGCAGACATTTTACCATGCTAAGTGGAAGAACTTGACAACAGTCCCCCAGGAGGTTCATAGAAAGGTCAACCGGTTCCAAAAGTACTAAGGACTTTTGATAGGAGCTATGCAAACAATTGTATGATGATTATTTCTAAGAATTAAAGGCTTAGCACTTAATTTACTTGCACATGAAGAAGATAGTAAGGAGGTGTATCATAGCTATTACTTCTGTCAGGAGCAGCAGTGCCGTTAAAAACAAACTGTCCTAAAGTATCTTTCATTAGAATCAAATGCAAACATATACAGGAAAGAAAATGATGAGCAAAAAATTGCTTTGTGTAAGTATATGCATGTATTAATTAGTTGAATTTTCACTAGTCAAATAATTGGCTGTACATAGCAATTGTGAACTTGTTTATGTTTCTTGTCAGAGTATGAGTGTGTTTTGTTTTGTTTCTCTGGAGGTGGGGATGGGAGAAGGGGAGAAGAAAGAGGAAAACCAAAAAAGAACTTAAAAAGAAACACACTGAAATTCATCTTCTGCTTCTCTGCTTATGACTTTTTAAGCCAACAGGTTGAAAGCAAGTGTTCATTCTCATATGAAAACATCAGGGATCTAAGACAGTGATTGAATTACAAGAGACTATGAACCAAGATAAGAAAGAGAGTTTGTTAGGGCTCATTTCAGAGGATCTTCATCGCCTTTGTGAAAAGTTTGCCTGCAAGCAAAGTCTGACAGCCCTGTCTTTCCTTTATTCTGCACTTATTTTACCCCATGCCCTTTATTGTTATTATTGTATTTCATTCATTTTCTAGTCAGGACTTTTTTAGTTGAAAATAACTAAAACCCACATAAAGTGTCATGAAACGATTTAAAAGGAGGCTGGAGAGATGGCTCAGAAGTTAAGAGCACTAGATGCTGTTTCCAGAGGACCTGGGTTTAATTCCTAGCACTCACATGACAGCTCACAACTGTCTTAAACTCCAGTTCCAGAGGATCTGGCACCATCACACAGATATACATGAAGGCAAAACACCAATGTACATAAGATAAAATAGATACATCTTAAACAAAGATTTAAAATGTGTGTGTGGCTATGTGAGCATTTTAAACTCACATTTGTTTTTCTGTTGAGTCTAAAGGAAGAAAATGTAGTCAAATAAAGTCTCAGAGGGTCTGGAGAGCTGTCAATAACTCATATTCTCTCTTGTGTCTCAAGAGCCATATGATTTTCACTGATCATCTCCAGAGCTCATTAATTTCATATTTCTCCATGCGGTTCGCTTTCTTTCCCACAGTTTACAGCTGGTCTAAACAGTATGTCACTGAACATGAATTTGTAGCCATCTTCTTCATTAATAACTTCTTTTGTATTTTATTTTTTGTTGTTGGCGTTGTTTTGGTTTGGTTTGTTTTTTGTTTTTTTTGTGATAGGGTTTCTCTGTGTAACAGCCCTGGCTATCCTGGAACACTCTATGTAATTCAGGCTGGCCTCAGACTCACAGAAATCTGCCTGTCTCTGCCTCCCAAGTGCTTGGATTAAAGGCGTGCGCCACCACCTCCCAGCTGTATTTCTTTATACACATATGTACATAAATTAATATAGATGCAACAATCATAATTAAAGATAAATACATTATGAATTTGGGAGGGAGTTGGGAGGGAAAGGAGGGGTGGACATGATGTAAATACAGTATTCATGTATGAAATCTCAAAAAAATAAAAATCTGAATAATAAAGATTATGTAAACCCCGTCTATTGAGAAGTCATAACTGAGCATAATGTAATACTGGGAGTGGGGAGTGGGGAGTGGGGGTACAATAAGAAACCTGTCAGACAAATCTAAAAAAATGTAGTGACCACCTTGATTTTATAGCAAGAAAAAGGGTGAGCGTGTTTGCATACAGATTGTAATTCCATCATTTCTAGTGCTGCCTGTGTGTATTTTCTAGTTCCACCAATCACAAATCTTCCCTTTGAACTGAATCACAAGCCTGGCCTTAGCCACTGTGGAAGAGCCACCCCCTTTCCCAAGTGAAGAGGAACATGGTAATATAGAGTTTATCAAAGCTTCTTTTGACCAGAATGAGATGTTCTGAAGCCAATGCAAGTTAACTAGGAAATGTTTTGACTAGAACTAGTCAAAATTCAGAATCTTGAATTGAGCATCAGCTGTGGTTACATGCACCTGTGATGTAGCTTCCTCACAGTGCCATGGTTGCTGTGAATGACAGTCCTGCCTATCTTCAAAAGACTGACTGCTCGACTGTCAGCTTCCCAATGAAGGCAAGTAGAGACAATGGAAGGGTCTGACTGATGTCAATTGGAAGACCAAATCCCACCCCTCAGCTTATTGAAAGAACAATATCTGGGCAGTGGTAGCACACATCTTTAATCCCTGCACTCAGGAGACAGAGGCAGGTGCATCTGTGTGAGCCAGCCTGGTATATACAGTGAGTACTAGGACAGCTACATAGTAAGATGCTATTTCAAACAAGCAAACAGAGATGCTTATGATAAATACTCGACATAAAGTTAAATTTTTCACAGTACCTAACAGTGTTTAACTAGCTACCATCCAAGTGTCTTTAGAGAGGATTTTGATTCCTCTGATCTGTCTCACTTCCATTTTTTTAAATACAAATTTCCTTTCTTTGTTCCTTTCTTTCTTTTCTATTTTCTTTTGGATGGGGCCTCACTATGTAATCCTGGCTGTCCTGGAACTCACTCTGGAGACCAGGCTGGCCTCAAACTCATGGAGATCCACTTGCCTCTGCCTCCCAAGTGCTGGGATGAAAGGTGTGCACCACACCTGGCTGGATTATTCTTTTTAATTGTCATACAAAGTGTATATGTTCACTGTGGCATTTTTCAAACATAATTTGTCTTTATTGATTCTCCTCCCCTTCCCCCATTTTTCCTCATACCCTTTCAATAACTTCTTTTTTGCTTCCATGTCATATATGTTCTACTGCTCTACTCATTTCTTTCTAAAAATGATTATCTGCAAAAAAGAAAGAGTGTTCAAAGGCTAAATAGACCTTAAAGTGACAAATGTTTAAACCTTAAAGCCTTAAGAGAAAGTTAACTGAAGGGAAAAAGCCAACCACACATACTATCTCATCTCAATATTGAAAAGATCCAGTATTACCAATGGTAGCGAATGAAACGATTTTCACTTCTCCCGCTTTCATTTCCTCATTCTCTCTCTTCTTTCCTTCACTACTTTTCATTCTTCCTTTCTTTTTGTGTATGAACTCGGGCTCTGGTCTTCAAATTTGTTGTGGGGTATTCACCAGAAAAGACTACTTAGACATATGTTTAAGCCAATAGGAAGTCTTTATTAGCTGGCCGGCAACTACATTGGGTGTTTGGAATCCCAGTGTAGCCCCAAGACTATCTCAGGGTGAGCCTTAAAGCACACACACACAAAAAAACATGCTCTGGGTTGACACACTTCAGTGAACAATAAGTTAGCCAGAAGTGGAGCTACAGAAGCCAAAAGGCAAGGTCAGTACATTAGAGACATTCCCACAACTATGGACTTTGATGGATTGGGTCTTTGTTTTAGATTTGTCAGGTAGTGGTGTCTACATGCTGAATTTTATGGCCTGAATGGTACTTCCATCATGGAGTCAGTTATGCCAAGGGCTCAGGGCCTTCTAAGCCTGGGGCCCTATTACCCTCCCCACTGTTCTTAGTGCATGAGTCAAATTGTAGACTCATCCTGTTCTAAAGAGGTGTAGTTGGTCCTAAGGATAATTAATTTCGCTGAACTCATACATAATTGACCAAAGGGTTTAAGATGAAGTACCTCTTGCTCTTATTGTGGCAGCTCCCTCTCCACTAACCTCATGCTCCCAATTAGCTCAGGAGTTCATGCCACTTCCCATTCCTGGGGACCAATTATCCCTTAGAGTCCTTCATGTTTCCTAGTTTCTTTGGTGAAGAGGATTATAGGCTGGTAATCCTTTGCTCTATGTCTAAAATTCATATATGAGTGAATACACACCATGTTTGTCTTCTTGTGACTGGGTTACCTCACTCAGGATGGTTTCTTCTAGTTCCGAGCAGAAATATTGAGTTGGGGGAAGGATAGAGGAGACAGAGAAGGATGAGAGATACCATATCAGAGGGAGCCACTATAGGTCCGAGAAGAGATCTGGAACTAGGGATATCTCCAGAGACCTACAAGGATGACACAACCTGACAATCCAGGCAATGGTGGAGAGGATGACCTAAAAGCCCTTCCCCTAAAATGAGATTGATGACTTCTCTTTATGCCATCCTAGAGCCCTCATCCAGTGCCTGATGGAAGCAGAGACAGACATCCACAGATATACACTGAGCTGAAATCTGGAATTTAGTTGAAGAGAGGGAGGAATGAAGAGCAAAGGGGTCTGTACCAGGTTGGAGAAACCCACAGGAACAGTTGACCTG